GGCTAGCAAACAAATGTAGAATGCATGTGTTATTTGTGTAAAAATATGGTACTCAACTGGATTTGAAGTGTTCAATATTTATATGTTGAAAGGCAAGGAAAAGGGGTAATGCTATGTTTAAGGCCAGACAACACACACACACAAACACACACGCGCGCGCGTGCGCGCGCACACACACAGAAACAATGTATATTCCAAAATCTAATCAACCTCGCACAGATTAAAAGGGTTCTGCTTTAAGGGAAACAAACCAACAAAATTGACAGCCCAGACTGATATAGGTATCTTTGAATAAATGAGTTGTTGATAATCTACCAGGTGTGGTAAAGTACACAGTACAGAACAACAATGTTAAACATTCATAGGGTGTGCAAAGAGGCCCAACCAGCTTCATGGGTTGCTCTACTGGATGGATGACGAACTGGATACTCTGCTAATTTGGTTAAAATTATCAGAGGCCAGATTAACCATCTGTTAACTTGCTTGGTGAAGTGTTGGGCCATAACTCACTAAAAGACACTTATGAAACATCATCACTATGTCCTCTGTAAATTATGGAGTGTCTCTAAAATACACTCCTGGAAACAGAGAGAGTGTGGCCCTTTGCCTACTGTTGGATGAGAAAAATCCTGAGCCCAATATTTATGTGTCTCTGTGTATCTGTCAGGGTCATGAAAAGTCAGGTACATTGAAAACATGAAATCAGGAGTTGCCCATTAAACTATGGACCTGACTGTGGTTGACTGCTGTTTAGGAGGAAGAATATTGTACAGTGCTCTGCCTGGTGACTCTGGTGGAAGATGTGGTTATGGCAGAATCAGAATGAGCAGACGCCGCTAACCCAAAATTTGGCACAGGGCCAGTGACACCAGCTCCAGAAACCATGGTCTTTCGAACCATCGTAGAGGTTTCAGCAGGAACTTGGTAACTGGATTGCAGAGTGGAAGCAGGTGTTAGTATTCTTTCTGTCACTGTCACATTCTGCCCCACTGCTACACTGGGCATGGCCAGAGAGGGCTGCGCAGCCGAGCTGGGGGCCAGGACCCTCTCTCTTTCCCTCACCATGACATAATGTGCATCTGGTAGATGCTGAGGGACTTCAAGGGAATTCAATACACCCTCACTAGGCTGTATTACTTGTTCAGTGACCAAGACATTACTTTCATTGGCATAATGCTGAGCTACCATAGTAGATGCTGGCGCATACACCCTCTCTGTCACAATAAGGCCCTGTGGTTGTCCAGAATCCAGGATCACAGCGCTTGGTTGGATGGCGGAGCCTGTGGCATAGGATGTTTCCGTCACTAAAATATTACTAGGAACCAATGGATCAGGAAGAGGTACAGCTACCTTTTGACCCTGCCTAGAAGACACGGACCTTTCAGTGACTAGTTCCTGAGTTACTGTCTCTGTCTCTGCTTTTGCTTCATGGAAAGGTTTTGAAACTTGAATGCTACTGCCAGAGGAGTAGTTATTTTCTGAATTAACCATGGTTTGCTCATACTGTGAACGTGAAGCTGTGCTCTTACTTGTTTCTGTGACAGGCTTTTGTCTCTGCTCAATTTCCATACCCATATCTATTTTCTGACCTATGCAAACTTCAGCTAGTGTCTTGAATTTAAATCCCAGATCATCTAAGAAGCGGTCATCTAGCTCTCCTTCAATAAAACTGCAACAGCCAATGGAACCATCTAGGGACTCAGTTTCTTCCTGAGAATAAACCAGAAGGCAATCTTTGGCTGCGTGACTGTCACTGTCTTCAGTGTAAACGGCGGCTTTCTAAAATGCACAAAGAAACAGAGACACATAATTAGTGACATAAGTTCATTTAAAAACAAGATGTCCTATTTCTGCCCCAAATGCATAAACTGAATCTAATC